CTTCTCATCTGTCTTCTGGACGCGCCAGGTGGTGGCCGGCGGTGCCGGGTCGGCGACCGGGGCGTGTCTGCCCGCCGCCGCCGGCCCGCCCCGCCGAGCCGCCCCCGCCGCTGGCAGCGGCCCCGCCTGACTCACGCCGGGCCGCTGCGGGCGGGCCGCCGCCGCCCGATTGGGTTACGCCGGGGCGGCAGCCGAGCGGCGGCGGCGTCGACTGAGGCCTCCGGCGGGGAAGCACCTCGGTGTCGGACGCCCTGGAAATAGAGAGCGGCTGTTTATGTCACCGCGCCGCCTGAAGGGTCTAGTCATCGCAGCGGTTGTCTTTTTCCGGTCTGTGGCGCGTCCGTAAGATGATCCGAGCGGACTGGCCGCGTCCACGCGGACGCTCGGTTGGACTGGTTTCTCCTCCGTCCGCTCGGCGAACGAACGACAGGCGCACGCAGGACATTCTCGACACCACTCGGTGCGTTGATTATACAAGATAGGTGATATCATGTCCGCGATATTTGCGCGCACGGCAATCGTGTGTCACTCACGCGGGCGACGTGCCCCTGTGTGCCTCTCGTCAACACGTGATGGTGTGCACCGGCGGGACGGTCAGCCGACACCGGCGTCGAGCAGCCTCCGCTCTGACTCGGCTGTGCGCGCCGTCGCGGCGGGGGCCCCGTCGCGTCATCAGTCACGCGGCGTCACGTCACGCGGCGTCACGGGCGTCCCCGTCGGGGCCGCCCGTTTCTGGGCGGTGCCGCCGCCACCGCCGCCGCGGGGCGTCCCGTTCGTGAGCCCGCTGCCGGGCGTCGCAGTCGCAGCGCGCCGCCGCGGTCGACACCGACCGGCGGTTCGGTCTGTCACTATCGGGTGGCGTTGCGATCGTCAGCCGTCATCAATGGCCGGGATTGGCTTCGCCAGCCGTCAGCAGACGGAAATCGTCTAGACCGGCCATCGTCATGACGTGGCCGTCATACCGGTACCGTCATGGTGCCAGGCCGCCATCAGACCAGGCGGCGCCCGTCGGGACCCGTCACGTTATCCCGACAGGGGCATAGCGGTTGCTCAGCGGGCGGTCGACCGGTGACGGCCGCTGTATCAGGTCAGACCCTGACCGCCGGTGCCTGAGCCGCTATCGGTGGACGCCTGATAGCGTCCGCGCGCCCGGCCTGCCTGCCGCTGTCCGCCCGCGGCGGCAACGGCGGCGCCAGTCCGCAGCGCGAGTCCGCGGCCGAAGCGGCGCACGCGTGACCGGAGGTCAGCGGCGCCAGGTGGCCGGTAATGAGCGCGACGCAGCTGGGGTCCGGCCTACCGGCGGCGCTTCAGGTGAGTCGCCCGCCGCCGCCGCGCTGGGAGGGGCACTGGTGAGCCGGCTGGCAGCAGGTCTTGCGACCCCTCCCGGCCACGCCCATGATCTTCTGGAGCGCCTCCCTGCCGAACGTGCTCTGGCTGGCCGGGAACTGGAGGGTGCGCAAGGTTCGTACCCGCCGCGGCTGGCCGTATTCCGGCAGCTCGCGGGCCACGAGCCGGTTTTTGCTCGGTGTCTGGTGCGGCGTTTTTGTCGCCGGCTGTCGGGACCGTGCTGCCAAGTGCCAGTCGCCTCAGGCCGTCGATTGGTATTCATTTGTCGGGTCACGACGGTACGATGCTGTGAATTCTTGCCGTTTGATGTCGATACCGTCGTTGACAAATGACGTTCCACTCGAGAAGTCTGCGTGCTATTTCGGCGCTCATATTGATCATGCCGCCAAAGCGTTCACTCTTTCAAAACAATCTAGCTGTCGAGTCGACCTAACATTTAGCTGGTTTCGCTCGCGCATTTTAAATGCCGGCTTTCGTTGCGAACATTTGACGGACGCACGCTGCGACTAATGACATACTTACTCCTACGCCGAGCCGAAGCGATCAGCCGGCCGTGAGGCACCGAAATATGGCCTGTCATGCAACAGTATGGGCCCGCCGTCCCGCGTAACAACCGGCCGGCATCGACCGACGGGCCGCCGTCACCCACGACTTCCGGCTCCCGTGACGGCGCCGGCCACCTCGCCGCGGCGGCAGCGCCGGCGCCACCGCGTGTTCGGCGTCCATCAGCCGGCCGCCGCCGGGCACGTCCCACCGCGCCCAGCGACGCGGCGTCGCCATGGTGTCGGAGTCGACGGCGCGACGCCGCCGGCGCCAGTGGCGGCCCTGCGAGCCGGCGGAGCGCGCGCGCCAGCAGCCGTGCTTGCGACGCCGCGCCGCCCAGCTGTGGTGCTCGCCGGCGGGACAGGTGGTGAACAGGCGCGCGGCCACGGCCGCCGGCCGCCCGCCTGCCCGTGCACTTGTGGGGGTCGCGCGGAGCGGCGCGCCGTCGCTGTGCGGCCGTATCGGCGCGCCGAGTTTGCCCTCGTTTTAGCGCCGCGCCGCTGGTGCTGCGACGCGCGGACGGCGATAGGCGCGCGGCATCCACGTGAGCGCGACGTCGTCCGGGCCTGGGACGGGGTGCGGCGGAGCCACTCGGCCATTGAGGTCTCGTCCCTCTGGCGGCCGCAGCACGCAGCGGAACTGGTCCTGCGTGCCGCCGGAGCGGTCCGCGCCCGAGCTCGTCGCGGACAACGCCGGGGTGCTGACGAGGGCGCCGACGCCGCCGGCGCCGGCCAACTCCCGCCGCCGTGTCCGACGCCGGGGCGCAGCGTGTCTGGGGGCGGACACGTGTCCGACCGCTCTGGCCGGCCGCTATGTCCGCGCTCTGGCGGCGCCGGCGCCGGAGCCTGGCGCGCGCAACCGCCGCCACGGCGCACGTCTGGGACGCCAACGCTAACCCGGTACGCACGGCGCGCCGGCGCCGGGGCCGCCTGCCGCCGCCGCTGGTCCGTCCTGTGGTCACACGCGCGCGTGAATGCAGGCTCGAACCCACCGCACCCGGCCGGCTCTCACGCGAGACACGCTCGCCCGCAAACGGCAGCGTCCAACGCACGAACAATACCGCAGCCATGTATGCACTCAGAAAGGCGGCAATCAAGCGCTTGTTTGTGGTCACGCCTGCCCGTAAATGCATTCACACGCACGCACGCCCGCACGCACGCAAGAGCAGTCGCCGTGCACACGTATGCATCGTGCACATACTCCGGGGTGCATGCGCACGCCCGCGCCGTGGCACGCATCCGCCGGTGCCGGCAAGCGGGCACGCACCACACACCAACAGGCACGCTCCAGCCATCGATCCTGGGACGCGTCTGAATCGATGACAGTCGTGCCCGCCGTCGTGAGCCGTGTTTTGTCGGCGGCTGGGTGCCGTTTTTGTCGGAGCGCCGGCGGCCGGTGTCGTGTCGCGAGCAGCCCGGGTCGGCCGGGCTCGGGCCGGCGCCGACGTCGCCCGCCGCCCCCTCTGACCCAGTTCCGGGCAGACCGGCCGCCTATCCGGTGCCTGCGCGGCCTCGCTCGGCCAATGGGGAGCCGCCGGCCTCCAGCCTTACAGCGGGCACGGGCGAGCGGAGCCCGGGGAGGCCGCTGCAGGGGCTCGGGCCACCGGGTGCGGGCTGGAGCGGGAGAGGCGGGAGTCGAGCCTTTGACTCGTTGGATGCTGGGGTCGTCGTCAATTAGTGTGCTAAATGACTGATGCTCGTGCTTTGGATTGAATAGAGAAATATTCATTTCATCTACGAAAGAATGCGCAACATATTCAGGGGGGGGGGGGTGGGATGAGGAAGGTGGAAGCACAACATTGCTCCCGATTTTTTGCGATGGGCTGCGTTTCAAAAAGTTGTGTTTGCGGTTGTGCATATGCGGTTGTACGTATCGTATTTTCAATCGTCGAGCCGCCGACTAGGCCAGAGCTGGCAGCAGCTGACACTGTGCCGGTTTTGACTCAGAGCGGGCCCGTCAATCTGCCTCAGACGCAGGCAACGACTCAGCCATATTGAGCACCTCTTCAAACTCCGTGGGCATGTTCTCTTCTGTCCTGTACATACGCCGACCTGAACAATTCGCGTCGCGTTATAGCTCATTTCGAAATTTCTAGAACACCGTTGCTTTTAATATATGTTATGGACGTAACAGGACCGAGCAATCGAAGAGCCCGAAAGCCCAATAGCAAACTAGACTGCCGTCGGGAGGGGAGATGACGTCATCCCAAATTGTCCTGACTTCCACGACACGCAATCCAAGACGGGGGACATCAATCGCCATCTGTCCGCTGGCTCCTCGTGAGGCGCGGAGAGCGGTGACCTCGCGCCCGGCGCCAGCTCCCTGTCCAGAGTTCGTCTGGTCTCAGCTCGTTCTGCGGTTGCGGAGAGCGGTGACCTCGTGCCCGGCGGCAGCTCGCTGTCCAGTGTTCGTCTGGTCTCATCTCGTACTGCGGTTGCGGAGAGCGGTGACCTCGCGCCCGGCGCCAGCTCCCTGTCCAGTGTCCGTCTGGTCTCAGCTCGTTCCGCGGCGGCGGAGAGCGGTGACCCCATGCTCACGCGTCGCACGGCGCCAGCTCCCTGTCCAGCGGCCGTCTGGTCTCAGCTCGTTCTGCGCCGGCGGAGAGCGGTGACCTCGTGCTCCCTCGCCGCCCGGTACCAGCTCCCTGTCCAGTGTCCGTCTGGTCTCAGCTCGTTCCGCGGCGGCGGAGAGCGGTGACTTCGCGCCCGGCGCCAGTTCCCTGTCCAGTGTCCGTCTGGTCTCAGCTCGTTCTGCGGTGGCGGAGAGCGGTGACCTCGTGCCCCCACGCGGTCCGACGCCAGCTCCCGTCCAGTGTCCGTCTGGTCTCAGCTCTTTCTGCGGTGGCATAGAACGGTGACCTCGTGCCCCCGCGCGGCCCGGCGCCAGCTCCCGTCCGGTGTCCGTCTGGTCTCAGCTCGTTCTGCGGCGGCGGAGAGCGGTGACCTCGTGCCCCCACGCGGCCCGACGCCAGCTCCCGTCCGATGTCCGTCTGGTCTCAGCTCGTTCGGCGGCGGCGGAGAGCGGTGACGCCCGGCGCCAGCTCCCCATCCAGCGCCCGTCTGGTCTCAGCTTGTCTGGGCGCCGCCTCAGCACGCCCCGCCCTGTTTCAGCCGCCGGAGAATCAGCTGATGCGCGGGGACCGCCAGCTGAGTGAGCACGAGCTGCGCTTCCAGCGGTCGCTGCGCAACCTCAACACGCCCGAGTGGTACAAGAAGTCCAGCAAGCCGGACACGTCGTTGCGACGGGACTATGGCTCGGGCTCGCTGGCAGGTGTGTGTCGACCACTGCTTTTTAGCCCGAATGACTGTGTGTGCTGGTGGAAGGGCAAGTGTAGGTTATCGTGCCCTTCTAGTTATTCTGTGACTTGTGGTTGATTGAGTGGATACGTAAATATTATTTTTATTTCTATTGGATTAGTCGGCGATTTAACTGTGCTGTTGACCATTTGCAACGTTTTGTTTCCGACTGGAATGTGCCTTTTAGATGTGATGCATGTAGATGGCTGTGGCTATTGAGTATTCATAACCCCTGGGTGCCATAGGTGGCAATGTTCTTTAGGGTCTGGATGCGTCAAGATTCCTCGGAATTTCTCGTCTCGACTCCTTAACCTGTGTTTGCATCTGCTGGCTCTGCAGTACTTAAGTGCGGGTTTCTTTGCGTTCTCGTTGGGTTGCTAAATAGCTGTAACATTAATCGTGCGCATTTTATGCTAATGCGGCCGCGACTCTTGTCTGAATATATTTGTAATATCCTTCCATTAAAGATCTGTCCAACTGTGAACCCATAGGCGTAGGCGTAGTTCCTTAGGCGTAGTCCCATAGGCGTAGTTCCTTAAACTGGGTGTTGGCCGAGGGAGGCTGATCACCGAAAATTATGCGATCTTCCCCCGAAATGCGCGAAAAACGGGCTTCTCAAATTTGACCCACTTTCTTCTCAAAGTGGGGCGCGTGGAGGGGATGGAGGGTGGGGCGACTGGAGCCTACTCGGCAGCTGAATAGGAAACTCCACGCCTGGTAAATCGACGCCACGCGGCGCACCCACATGGGGCTGCCCAGATGTCTGAGCGGCCGGCGCCGGCGGCGGCCGCGCTCGCTCAAGTCCCGCTATTGACGCCACCGCTCATGGCGCAGCGCCAAATACCGGCCGCAGCGCCGGTACGGGGCTGACCCCAGCCGCATCTGGACCGCGGGCGGCTATAAAAACCGGCTCGGCCGCTTCATCTGAGTCCGATTAGGCTGACGAGCACGGCGGCGCCTGACGCACTGCGGCCTGCCGGACGGCTCGCAGACTATCGTGTTTGATTTGCCACCGCCCCGGCATCCCTAGCCGGGGCCGCGAGCCCAAGTGTCAACATGGCCGGGCGGGCTGAATCACCTGGTGCCGACACGTGATGTGCCCGTGAGAGGGCGCCAGCTCAGGCCCATTGATGTGGCGCCCGTGTTTTGATGCGCCGCCGTCGGACTCACGCATCGGGCGCCGCGAGCGAGCTGAAGACGAGCCATCGCAGTGTGGGTGGGCAGCAGCTCGCTCCTGCTTGCAACTTTAGCCAGGACGCTGCATGACGCACATTCAGGCGACGCCAGGGGCCACTGCACCGCTCCCTCTTCTGTTCATGACCGCTGTCTGCCAGACACCAGACCCATAGTCTCGAGCTCTGTGCTCTGAGCTCTGCGTGTGAGCCCTTGGTGTTTCGGGGCCGGACATGCCAGCGAACAGTTGCAAGGCCCACATGCCACTGTGCCGTTACAAGTCCTCCACGCCCCAGACCTGGCCCGTCTGCACGGCTCCGTATTTTTGCGCCGTGGCTGTGTCGTGTCTGGGACCGTCCAGCCGGCGCCCAGGCGGCAGGCTGGTCTTTACGACGCGCGTAAAGCTTTCATGACACCATTCCGGCTGCAATTTTGGACAGGAAACTTGGTGGCAGGAGGTGGTTAGTGTGGCAACGCCGCCTCGCCTTCCAGAAGTTACCGGCGGGTCTGTGCATCGAGCATGCATGCTTTGCACTTCTGCTTCAAATCTCTCTTGTTTTACAAGCCTTCGTGGTTGTGAGTCGGGCTCGCCGTCTTGAAAGCCCCTAGGTTCGCTATTTGATGTATTAGCTAAGAACCATCCATTTTTCATCGATTTAATGGACGTGGCTACTGTTTTGAATTGGCCATTCTGATTGGACGATTAAGGCTGGTGGCTAGTGTGGGCTGGGCCTGGAAGCGACGTACGACTCTCCCGCGACCCACTTCTCTCGCCGCTGGTTTGTCAACCACACGCCACCTGCACCCGTGATGACATTAGCCGGCGGCACGCCACATGCTGGGCCCCGCTCTCACGCCCACCCCTCCCCCTGCCCGCAGGCGGCTGGTCCGGCTTCAACTCCAAGTCGACGTCGAAGGAGAGCCTGCAGTCGAGCCGGTGCACCACGCCCACCGCCCAGTCCAAGGTGGTGATCCCGACGCGCGTGCGGCCGCCCGACTGGCGCTACGTGCGCGCCACCTCGCGGGAGAGCCTCACCAGTCCGGGCTCCGGCGCCGCCTCGCCAGCGCCCAGCGACCGCAGCGGCCTCTACTACGGCGGCGCGTACCGGGCCGGCTCGGCGCGTGTCTCGCAGACCAGCAGCGGCACGCAGAGCCCCGTCGGCAGCGCCGGCGGCAGCCTGGGCGGCACCGGCCGCAGCCTCGGACACCGGCCCGCCTACCTGGGCTGGCGCAGCCAGGAGCGCCTCAGCCAGGGCTACCAGACGCCGGTCGACCGGCTGGCCAGCAGCTTCGGACGCAACCGCAGTGAGGGCAACCTGAGCGGCGCGCGGCTGAGCCTACCGCGCGACCGCAGCGCCGGCAGCAGCGGCTCGGTCGGGCCGCCGCGCCAGCAGCCCGACCTGGACGTGCACAGCTCGATCAAGGAGGTGACCAGCGCCATAGTGCATTACTTTGACTCGACGGCGTCGTCCAACGGCGGCAGTGTGAGTGACATGGGCCGCTCTGGCTCGCCGCGGCCGCGGCACCGCTCGCCGGCCGGCGCGCGCGGCTCGCGGTCCGGCTCGCCGTCCAGGGCGCGGCCCGTCTGGCTGGAGACGGCGTTCGTCGGCACCAAGCCGACGGACGAGCCGACGACACCGGAGGCGGCCGGCGCCGTGCTGACCGACACGCTGGCGGGCGGTGGCGGCTCGCCGGCGCCGGCCGACGCCCCGCCGCCGCCGCCCTCCAGCGCCCCGCCCCCCCGCTCCGATGCCAAGGGCGACCATTACGAGCTCGGTGAGTTGCTGATGGTGTGACGCACGCGCCGCTGCCGGGCTTGGGCTCTAGTCGGGGCTCCTGAGCTGGGCCGAGTGATGTCCACCGGCCGTCGACCCGCGCTTGGTGTTCTCTGTAAATACTGTTTTTGAGTCGCGCTGAGCTGGGGCATGTGTCTTAGTTGTCGATTGAGAGGCGTTTTTGTTTTGTCCTGCTTTTTTGCGTTTGCGCTTGCCGCGGTTTCGTAGCATCCGCTGTCTGTTTGTTCCCTTTTCACTGGATGTGCTTCTCCGTTTGGCATGCGATGCACCGTTGTGTCGTTGTTGGTCAGCTTTTATGCTCAATGAGACGTTGGTCTCCACTCGATATGAAGCGCTTCGCCACGGCGATTTGGCGCCGGACATTCGATTCCATGCTCTGGCTTCTTTGTGGGGATATGAGAACGCTACGTCTCGAGTATGTTCCGTTTGAGAAAGATGTTATTCTTCAGCGTGGTTGCTGAGAAATCTTGCTCCTGTTTCATCTTACTCGGATGTAGTGGTCCTGATGCACTCCTCAGTACAGTTTAAATAGGGAAGTCATCATATGAAGAGTTAAGCGTGTAGGATACGTGCGTTCGATAAGAATGCTGGGCGGAAATAACGGATGGCTTCCACAATGATCTATTTTGTTGTGTTTGCTTGCAGTGTTTGCTATATTTTGTCCGAGTCACTTTTATGTTGTATATTTGATTATTTATCTACTTAATAAACTATTAGAGAGCAGCACCGAATTTTGCTTGGTTTTCATTTACGATTTGGGTAGTTGAATGGTCTTTGGTTCGACTTGGTATCTTTATTGCGGTGTGTTTCCTTTTTGACAGCACCTTCGTCTCGTGTTGATGCTCGTGTCGAGCAGGCTTAGTGAGCAAGGTAAGAATCTCACTGGTGACTGGGCATTCCTGTTCTGCAGTGAATGCTTCTGTGAACACGTCCCTGTTTGCCCTACTTCGCGTTGGACTGATAATGGGATCGGCTGACATTTTTTGCATGCAGTGCTTTTTAGAAAAACGTGCAACGCGTAATATTTCTTATCGGCCTAACCCCAGGAGTCCAGCTAATAATGGATTAGAAGCAGCCCGTGTACGTGAAAGATGTTAATCGATCTGCAGCGTGGATCGATATCGATAACTCGTGACGCTTTCAATTCAGTTTTCGCGGCGACTAACCCCGCGTACCGTGCCGAAACTCGAGTCCACTGATGTCGTGATAGATATGGATTGCCGAAAGCCTTTGGAAACGGTTCTCACCGCCGAATAGATGGCATCGGATCAGACAACGGCTGATAACCGACATGTCCGACAGTCGAACGGAGAAGTGGGGATCTAAGGTATCGAAAAGTATGTTAGTATCCTTCAGGCCATGTGATGATGGCGGGATGCCATGGCACTTTACTGCATCTTATCCGCGGGTACATGAGTGCGGGGCTACCGTTCGGGGTTTCAGCTCACTTACTTCGCCGTGCATTGTCCCACAAAGCACTTCCCCACACAAATCAGATGGACATGTTTTGCCCTGGGAGAGCATGTCTAGCAAAAATGGGCTGTGTTCTACCCGTACGGGTACATGTTTTCGAGTTTCTGGCCTCATGGCTAACATGTGGAGAGACGTGTCATGGTGCGTCACGTTGCGCCAAGCGGTTTCGAAATCATAGTTTGCCCAGCCTTTCCGCTCCTTCGTTGTAAGTTGGAGCGCTGGTGAACTTGGCAGTCAAAATAGTTGCAATTCGAGATGCGGGTCGAGTCATTGCAGGCTGTTCATGCTACCTTTGCGCGGTAGAGCTGTGGGCTGTGCTACAGCCTCGTTACGCATCCTCATTCTCTCTTGCCATCTGGTCAACATACTGGATGCTCCAGTGGGCGAGAGGCTACATGTCTAGGCGCGCTCGCATAGCCGCTGCACGCCTGACAAAGAGCGTAATGGTGGCTCAGCAACTTACACGTTCATTTTGCTTGCCTCGGATGTTTATTTGCATCTACGTCCATGACGCCTCAGAATGTAAAGTAACGATTTTTCATGCTACACGTACTTCATGTAGTTTTCAAACTGAATGCAGGCTAAGCGATGTTTTATTCCACAACTCGAGTTGTGGTCCGGTGTATTCAGGCCCATGAGAAAAGCGATCGTTCCACCGTTACCGTACACTATAATTCTATCGCCAATCATATTGTGTACGATAGCGAGGAGAATGTAGCCTGCTCAGCCTATAACTACGGCCATCCACGCGGGTGTAACGCCAGCGCGTGCAAAAACAGGGCACATTTCCACGCACGATGCCGTCGCCTCTTCCCTATGCTCGGGAGTCGGCGCGCCAGCGGCGTCGGTGGCGCCCTCTAAGCGCGCTCGATCGGCAGGGGGCGGGCGGCCGGCGCCGGCGGCGCGGCGCGGCTCGTCCGTCACTGTGGAGGACGTGCTGGACTCGCTGCTGGCGTTGCCGGGCGGCGCGACCGGGGCCCCGCGGCGCAGCAGCTCCACCAGCAGCAAGGGATCGCGGCGGGGCGCCTCACCCTCGCGTGTGCTCTACGAGACGTCGCTGGTGGGCACGCGGTACTACGACTGCTCGCCGTCGGCGCCCGGTGAGTCGGGCGTGGCGCGCGCGTCCTGAACGCGGCCCGCCGCCGGCGGAGGAGGCGGCACGGCGCGCTGGGACGCCGCAGCAGACGGCGCTGGCCGCTGCCGCGGTGATCAGCGGTCAGCGGTGACGCGGTGATCAGCGGTCAGCGGTGAAGCGGTGATCAGGCACCAGTGAGGCAGGGCAGGTGATTGTCGAGGGCGGGAAGCGGGGGACTCGCCGATTGTCCAACAAAGCTGTCAAGGCGAACTGGTGTAGAAGCGCGGTGCTGCAGGACGCATGCGCTGAGATGATTGTTGTTGGCATCGCATTGCTTTTGTCATGTTGCTGTCCTTGTTTGCCTTTTCTTTGTGATTTACGTAAGCCGTACACAATGAAGCACGCACCACGCATATAAGAAGTGTTAGTAAATGTACTGAATGTGGTGCTTTAAGCAAAGTAACAAAACCATGTGTGCACTGTGGTGTATCAAGATACGGGCATGCACAGATTTCTGCTGCGTCAGCTTCTGCCCAAGGCAGTCTTTTCGCGCCCATCGTTAGACTTGGGTTTTTGGGCCAGGATCGACTCTTCGACGTTCCACAAATTTGCCACTGTGCATGCGACCCGTCATCTTCTGTTGATCTATAATGCCTGTCTTAATTGCATGCCGTTCGTTCACCGTGCACCGAGCGATGATGGCGTACTTCCAGCCCCTTCCTCCCCAGCCACCTCGCGAAAATAAACGCCCGTCGCCGAGCGTCGTATTTCCCTTGGCACCGCACGCCGCTGTGCACGATCGGTGTGCCCGGCCGCCGGCGCTGCACCGCGAGCCCGAACGCCGGCCTCACCGGCCTCGGCCTGGCGCACTGTCCGATGAGGCGGGGCGTGCGCCGTCGGCGTAGTGTACGCATGCGCAGTGGCTGTCACTGAGGGGTGTCGAAGCATGGCCCCGACCGGAGATCACGTGTGACCTCTGGGGGCACAGTCGTAGAGCTTCAGCAGAATGGCAGAAGGGACGGGTCTGGCTCGGAGGACGCCGCTGGACATGAGGTAAGTGAAATCGACCGGCACCGCTAGAAGGATTCAGCAGCGTAGGTGCATAGCTCCCATTCATAAAGCCTGGCCATTGATGCACTCTGCACAGCTTAGCATAATAGTGCCTGTAATTTGCTCATCGGGTGCTGCACTACACACGTGGCTTCCGCTGGAAGCGCTTGTTGGGAGCGCCGCCTAGTTTCGGCATGAGGACGGCCCCGGGCTGCCACTCCTGTATAGATGAGTTTTGAGGTACCACGCACGCCTCCCGCCCGTGCAGTATTGGACGAGCCTGACGCGGTCTGTGTAGTGTCCCACCGCTCGGCCCCCTGTAACGCCGCCGTCTCTCCACAGAGGAGGCGCCCAGCCGGAACGGGCACCTGGCGAACGCGGCACCGCCGCCGGCGGCCGGCCGGGGCTGGAGCGGCCCGGCGCCGGCCTCGCCGCCCGAGCCGCGGCCCAACGCCATCACGACCGTGGCCTGGGTTAACAGCGAGCCGGAGCCGCACTGGGAGGAGCTGTACGGCGGCAGCAAGGGCAGCGCCGACTCGGGCAGCGCCGAGCACAAGCACAGCGGCAGCACCGACAACTGCGCCTCGAGCGGCGACTCGCTGCAGGCGCAGGTCAGCTCGCCGACGGCCGAGCGCCGGCTCAGCGACTCGATCGACGGCCACAAGGTGCGCTTCGATGTGTCAGACGACGACTGGCAGCCGGGCGAGGCCGGCGAGCGCGAGGTGACGCTGGAGGAGCTCGGCCGCCGGCTGCCCCTCGCCGACGACGTGTCCGACGTCGACGCCGACACGGACCGCTCGGCCGCCACCACCACGCCCGTCGAGAACGACGTCAAGGAGGGCGACGAGGGCGTCGAGCCCGACTCGTTCATCACCATCAAGTGCAAGAACTCGATGTGCCTGCGGACGACCAACCTGACCGAGGCGAAGACCGTGTTCAAAATGTGCCACAACTGTGAGACGTTCTATTGCTCGCGCGACTGCCGGCGCGCGCACTGGGACCGCCACCGGCGCGTGTGCGCCGCCATTCGCGCGCAGACCATGTCCAAGCAGATCATCATGAAGATCAAGGAGGACGAGAACCTGCTGCTGGAGTTCTCGCGCACGGCGCGGCAGGGCTTCCTCACTCACGGGCGCGGTCTGCTGAAGGTGTTCTTCCCCAGCCCCGAGTCGGCCGACGACTTCCTGGCCAAGGAGAACGGCACCGCCTCCGAGGCGCTCTACATCAAGTGGCAGGACCTGCTGCCGCGCGAGATGGGCCACCTCGTCTACCGCGAGATCATCGACCTGTGCAAGGCGTACAACCCCGAGTCGCGCCTCGTGCTCTACATTGTGATTTGCGTGTTTAACGAGATGCCTCTGAGCGGTGCGGCCAAGTGGGAGCGCCAAATCATCCCGCGCTGCGCCAAACTCAAACTGAGCCCGCTGCTGGGCGGCCGCTCGCCGCAGCGTAAGCCGTCGCCCAAGATCACGCGTGAGCTCGACGAGCTGGAGACGCTGATCCTAATCTCGCTGCCAAACTCGCTGCCGCACATGGCGGCGGAGCGCGCGCGCGAGGTCAACTTCCTGAACATCCTGCGCCACCTGCGCGCGCGCGGTGCCAGCTTACGTCGCGACTACCCGGAGGTGTACAACAGGCTGTGTGCCTACTCGGAGAAGAACGTGCCCTTCTCGCCCACCACCATCTACCCCAAGGACACGGGCACGGGCAACACGTTCATGTGTCTCATCATGCCCGACGCGACGCCGGAGCAGCTGCTGAAGATCCCGCGCGACTGCGGCAAGGTTAAAACGATCAATATCAGCCTGGACCGGGCCGAGTGACTGGAGGCCGGCCTCGCCCCCATCCCGGCCGTCGAGCCTCGTCGCTAACTGTTCTTGTTATTGTTGGTGATTTTTAATAATTTAGTACACAAGCAGCGAGCAGGTGTTAGCAGCCTCATTCGGTGTCGCTGTGGGTGCTGTAGCCTTGCGCGCGCCAGTCGGCGTCGGCCGGCGCCGCCCCGTGAGCGGCCGGTGCGCGCGCCACGTGCGTCGGCGCGCGCCGCCGCCGGCCGGCGCGGGGCGGCCCTGCGCGGGCGGCGGTGTGTCTGTGTTAGCCGGGGTAGCCGGGCGTGCGCCGGCGGCGCGGGTCGGGCGACCTGCTCACGCCGACGATGACGTCCGTGCCGTCACGGCGCCGCCGGTCACGAGTCACGGCGCCGGCACGGGCGCCGCGAGCAGCTCCGGCTGCGCGGGGCACCGCCGGCGCCGGCCAGACGGTGAAATGCTTCCGATGCCGGTCGGCATGTGAGCACAATCAGACTAACTCCCCGGCGGGTGAGACGGGCTGTATACCTCTTCGACGCGGCCGGCCGTCGAGATGTGGATCCGACTTTAGTTGCCACCCCGTGTCGGATGGTAGGCGGCGACGGCCCGGGGCGCCGGCGCCGGTGTTCGCCGCCATCAGATCAGTGATTCCGATGTTACATCCTAATATCCCAGTTTATAGTCTTTCATTTGACTGTTTCTAAAGGTCTCTTGTTGCCGTCTCCCGTCTTTCCCTCCGGTCGAAGATGAGCTGACCTGCGCTCAGGCAGACGGATGGAGCTCGCTGCGCGGAGGCGGTCAGCCTGCCACAGACCAGGCGCGCCAGCCCTCCGCGCGCGCCGGCCGGGACATCCTAGCCAGACAGCGGAGCGCTCGATGCACACCACGGGGACCTGATCGGGCCGAGATGCCCGCGGCGCGGACTGACAGTCGCCGACATCGCTCTTGGTGAATGATGGAAGTACCGTCCTTCGCTCAGGGCTTTGCTACGTTGCAGTAAGACGTATGCTTGTCCCAGATTTCACGCGAGCAGGCATCTGCTCGTCGACAACACGGTTTATTGATTCCGGCATGATCATTCGACAGCCTCTACAACGTAACACCAAGACTGGTCCGGTTAAAACAACACTAAACCGTTGATATGAGTCCCACGCGGCGACACGTTACACCAGGTCAGTTCAGAACAGAGCAACACGGCAGAACCTATAACAAAACGGCAGTGTGCAGCAGGACGCCCCAGCCAGCCATATATGCAACCAGACCGCGATGAGCACACGCCTTGTCGAGTGGCGCGTCTACCGAGAGCAATCAGCGTAAGGACTAGATCAATACAGGCAACGCGTCCCGGCAGGCGATAAAACGTCGTTGGCGGGTACAATTGGCAAATTTTCCCCCGGCGCTGCTCATTCGTCGTGACGCCAAATCGGCAAAAAACATGTGTAGATCAACCGGCATACCCGATAGATCCGAACTGCAAGGTGCAGCACGGCCGGGGTGAAATCACGCGCGAAAAACAACCGGGATTATGGGCCCGAGGCTCACACGCCGCCGCTGTAGCCCGGCGTGGCGCGGGCGCACGCTGCTCACTGTGGCCCGAGTGACTGTAACCTGTGCATCCGTACACTTGTCACCGCTGCACGCGGCTGACGCCGGGCAGAATGTAACGCGTGACGAGAAACGAGCTGCGAACCGAGCTGCCCTGCCCGTCGCGGACTGGAGGCGGCGGGGGGCCGCCCCAACAGCGAACGGTTCACGACGCGCGGGGAGAGTGCGTTCAGGCCGCTCGCCGTCGTCTGTGAGTGGGTCTGTGAGTGAGTTCGATACGGGCGACGCGACTGTTGGTGCCTAGCGATGGGAAGGCGGTAAACAGCGGCCAAGCTCTGCGACAAGCTCAGATTAGTGCCCCCCCCCCCCCCCGCCCATCCACACACACCGCGCCCCAGCTCTGCCAGCGCGGAGCGGCTGGACAGAGCAGGCCGTCTGGAGACACTCGGCAGTCCCCACACACGGCCGCGCCTGGCCCCGAGGTCGTGACTCGCGTCAGAGCCCCACGCGGTGTGACAACCGCCGCGGGGCCGTCTGGGCGCCGCTCGCTCCGTCCGACCGAGGTCAGCTCACCGGCACCGCCCCGCCGCGCCGCGTCGATTGTGACACAGACGGACGGCCAGGTCCGTCTCACCATGGCCGCCCGTACAAAAATACAGCGTATCCACCGCCTTCACAGCATCTCCGACCGACCACCGCCAACCCTAATCGCGGCCGCTCAGAGCCGGGGCTCACGGCCTCCGGGGCGCGTTAGCAGCCGGCCGCCAAGCTCTGGCTTTGCGCGCGCTGGGTGCAGCCTAGGACGGGCAGGCGCGGGGCACGGGCGAGCCAGGAGCGCGCCACCGCGCCGCGCGACTCCGGCATGAGCGGGCCACCTCCCGAACGGCCCCAGCTGGTTAGTTACACGCAGCGACGTTAGGAAGCGAACACAGACAACGGCAGCCAAAGCACGGCGGAACCGGCCATCAGCACACCACTCGGCCCACCAAACCAACGTTTCAGCACGGTCGCTGAAAAGTAGCAGTGCCAGACAACAGGCAAGCGAGTTTCCCTTCACACGTCGGACTGAAGGAACAAGCCGCAGTACGGAAAACCGGGTCAAGAACAAAACACCGTTTAAGCTAAGCACGCCCGGGCGGCAGAGTGGAATGCAGAAGTGGAGTGACCGAGTATTCAACGCCCGCCCGCCGACCCAACCAACAAAAAACAGCGCAACTGCTACACTGCCGGACCGGCGAGGTTGTACTAGCGACCGGGCCCGCCCCGACGGCGAGCTCCCGGCTCCTGAGTCTACACGCCCTTCTAAACGACCGACGGCCGCTCAGATGTCGATCTCGTTGACTAAGAAGTGGTAGACGAAGGTGGTCTTTCGCCGATCCAACGTCTGCAGGGACATGTTGTTGCGCTGCAGCCAGGCGGCGCTGGGACTCCTGATCAGCACACCGCCGAAGATTTTCGCTGCCGGAGGGGCCTCGGTCAGCGACGCACGCGGTCGGGTGGTGCCCCGTGCCGGTGCGGCACGCAGCGAACATCACTGCCACCTAGCCGCTACCGGGTGAACTACGGACGGCGGGCCAGCCGCCGGCCAGCAATGTGCCGGGTGTGAAGTTCATCCTCTCACCTTTGCAACTTTCAGAGGGACGTGAGGATCGCACAAACTTTGAGGACATACTGACAGAAACGAACGCACCAGCCCGGGTGAGAGGGGCATACTGACCATGGGAGCGGTATACGAAGTCTGAGAGAGAAGTACTGACCCTGAAAACGCACGACTCCGTATTGCGTATTGCGTATAACGCACGGACGTATTGCTTCCGAGATGAAATACTGGCCCCGACACGACGTACTGACTCCTACGCCAGGTAGCATACGGACTCCGAGATGACATACCGACTCCTCGATGACACACCGACTCCCGGATGACATACCGACTCCGATATGACAAACTGACTCCTAGATATATACCGACTCCCGCATGACGTACTGACTCCGAGATGACGTACCGACTCCCGCATGACGTACTGACTCCGGGACAACGTACCGAGTTCCGGATGACGTACTGACTCCGAGATAACGTACCGAGTGCGGTGGCCTCCAAACCGCCGTCCCGGGGCGCCTTGGTGACCACCTCGCGTAGGAACGTGCAGATGTAGGTGAACACGTTCTTGTGGTGAGGCGGCAGCTGCGACACGATCTGAGGATGAGGACGGAGCCACTGCCCGTCAGACGGGCGGGATGGCGGCGCGCCCGCCGCGCGCCGTTCTCACAGTCGTCGGCCACGCGGGCTGGCCAGGGCCACCCGCACGGCCGAGGGACGTGCGCTGATGACGCCAGGCGCCGGCGCGCCATGCGCACCAACATCGTCACAGGTGACGCGACGAAACCGACACGACAGCGTTGCACAACGCCTCGGCATCCGTGGCCAGGACTGCTGCGACAAGCACAGCGAACTAATGCAGCGGGGGCCGTGATCACTGTCTGGCGCCCGCTCCGGCAGCTGGAGCGCCGCGCCGGACGCAGCGAGCCGGCAGGTAGGGCCGCGGCGGCAACTCACGTGTTTGGACTGGATGAAGTTGTCGGAGCTCTCCATGCACTGCACCACGTAGTCGCTGGGTATGACCGGCTCGGGCAGGCTGGCCAGGAAGAGCAGCAGCGCCTCGGCCACCGAGTGGATGCTGCCCGCTGCACCGCCGTTAAGGAGATCTCGCCGGCACGCGGGAGGAGGCCCGGCCGCCGACGGCCGCCTCCCAGAGCACACACACGGCGAGCGCATGAACGCCGCTGAGGTCCCACCGCGCCCACAGCGACAGCTGGCGAGGCGCACCCGATACCATGGGCACAGGGCATCAGAGGCTCTACGCGAGCGAAGCGGCGCCGGAGGCAGCTTGCGCTGCATCTAAATTTGTACCAAAGCCGGCGACCGCATTAAACGTGTGGCAACACCACGCCCGCACACTAATGAATCCTTCTCTCGCTGGATGCTGAGGGCAAAGAGCACATCCAAAGTGATGACGCAGCGAAGTGGAGGGGAACGAGAGACACCAAAAAACCTGAGGGTGGTCAGAGAGCACGTCCAAAGCGCTGACGCAACGAAGTGCAGAGCAACGAGGGCCACCAAAAAACCAAGGGTGGTGGTGAGAGCAAAGGCTGATAACAGGACGAAATGGTGAAACCAACACCAAAGCGGCGAGACGGCTGAGAAAGCGACGGACCAGAAGTGCACACCCCGACAGCGCGCGCCTCCGCCGGTGAGGATACGGAGCGTCTCCGGCAGCGTGGTGTCCAGCGCCTCCCGAATCAGCTGCACCTCCGACGGCAGGCCGCTGCGCGCGAACAGGTCCTTGCCGATGCCCTCCTTCTGCAGCTGATCCACCATGAACCAGAGCTCCTTGGGGATCACGTACGGGTTGTGGGTGAGCTCCTTGGGGCTGGGGCTCTCCTGCGAACAGAGCGGGCCCGGTCAGTCGGTGCTCAGGCTGGCCGTGGGGGCTCGAGGGCTCGAGGGGCGGCACACGCCGGACGGCCAGTGGACAGCTGGCGAGAGCGCCGCGCAGGAGGCGGTAGGTGGTACAGATGCTGGACCACCTCGAGACGGGCATGGTGTGACAGCCGGGGCGACCGGTGGGACCGGACGGGGACTGACGGCTGACGACTGACGGCTGACCAGGGACAGCAGCTGTGGATAACGGCGCTGGTGGTCGCACGTGTGACCATGGGCGGCGACCCCCGAGACGACTGGTTGCTGTTGGTTACAGCGTGTTAAATATTGTCTGCTAAATGCGCTTGCGAGCTCCCCATCAACGACACAGGCGTCTCACCAGACCGTGTCGCGTACACGGCCGCAGAGAGTCCAAATCATCCATCGAACGTCAGGCCAAGCCTGGGCAGGACAGCCGTCAGTCTCGGCCCCGCGGTGCGGACCCGACCCGGCCAGGCCAGACCCGACCCAAGGCCCCACCCCAGCCGGCCCGCCAGCACTGACCAGGTCCAGCAGGCGGGAGATAGCCACCTCGGCGAACGGCGTCTTGATGTGCACCAGCGCGTTGATGGACACGCCGAAGCAGCTGCGTACGTAGTCGCCTGCGGACGGCACCGTCCGGGAATCGTCAGCAGTGCCACCCCGTCGGCCGAACGGACGGCACCACACGAGGATAGTCAGCAGTGCCACCCTACGGGCCGAACGGACGGCACCACACGGGGATAGTCAGCAGTGCCACCCTACGGGCCGAACGGACGGCACCACACGGGGATAGTCAGCAGTGCCACCCTACGGGCCGAACGGACGGCACCACACGAGGATAGTCAGCGGTGCCACCCTACGGGCCGAACGGACGGCACCACACGGGGATAGTCAGCAGTGCCACCCTACGGGCCGAACGGACGGCACCACACGGGGATAGTCAGCAGTGCCACCCTACGGGCCGAACGGACGGCACCACACGGGGATAGTCAGCAGTGCCACCCTACGGGCCGAACGGACGGCACCACACGAGGATAGTCAGCAGTGCCACCCTACGGGCCGAACGGACGGCACCACACGGGGATAGTCAGCAGTGCCACCCTACGGGCCGAACGGACGGCACCACACGGGGATAGTCAGCAGTGCCACCCCGCCGGCCGAACGAGCGGCACTACACGGGGATAGTCAGCGGCGCCACCTCACAGGCCGAACGGACGGCACCACCCGGGGATAGTCAGCAGTGCCAACCCGCCGGCCGAACGGACGGCACCACACGAGGATAGTCAGCGGTGCCACCCTACGGGCCGAACGGACGGCACCACACGGGGATAGTCAGCAGTGCCACCCTACGGGCCGAACGGACGGCACCACACGGGGATAGTCAGCGGCGCCACCTCACAGGCCGAACGCGGGGTGTGATGTGTAGCGTGTGTAGCGTAATGTGCAGAGGAATCACAATGCCTGGACACACACAGCGACATGTTCATGACATAAGTTTGCCATCAAACGCACCCAGATCGGGTCAGATTCCGGCGCACAGACATATGACGAAAGCTTAACAGGTGCCCGGGCACTCAGACGAGTGAAGGATGCGTGGGGAAACCCTTACACTGCTACCATTCAAATGCAAAGCGGCCCGAGCGTTTTTTCTCGAAAATGAAGTCATATCAATTGATGCGGCTCAAGAAACTGCATGTTGTGCGGTAGTGAGTAAGGCGTAAAATTTGCTTTCAAAATATGTCCACAATTATTTTCCACGCACATAACGATGTTTAAGTCGCAGACAACTAAAAATGTTTCCCCTCAATAAATATCTCACGGCGCTCAATCCTTATATAGCATACTGGAGTGAACACATGTGCAACATTGACGAAACTGGTTTCGAAATTATCTCAAAATACATTTGGCGAGTAAACGTGACATGTTGTGAGAGGTCAAATATAGTAACACTTTCATAGCCGTTCCGAATTGCTAAATCTTGTAAATAAATGTAAAAGCCGGATTCTGGTATCGTCAGTGGCGGCATCTGTTGGCTACAAAATCAGGCTCGGCTTTGGCGGCCGCCGCCGGCCCGGACGTCGGCCTCACCCTGGACGGTGATGAAGATGTCCTTGCCGTTCTCCAGGTGCAGCACCAGGATGTCGTACAGCTTGTCCTGGCACGTGTTGAGCTTGGCCGCCGTCCGGTCGTCCACGCGCACCTCGAGCGTCACCTCACACCGCTCCCCTGCGGAGGTCAAGGTCAGGTCAACACACGGGCTTTCCGAGGCTTGAGCGTCACCTCGAGCGTCACCTGCCAGGTCACGGGCAGAGCCACCATCAGCTCTCAGAATACAGAAGCTCTGAAAGGTTTTGTCACAATGATATTTCACGCGACGGACTGGCGGGCACGGCAATCACTCGGGACTTATTACGACAACCAGACAATAAGCCATTCGCGAATTCCTCTGTGACGCAGTCAAAGCGACAGCACTCAATGGCTGCAGTGTAGTACGCCATCAAATTACACATAAACACGCCAGGCATTGGCGTTATGCCGACAGCGACCGCCACTAACCAGGCATAATGACAGCAGTCTGCCGGTCGACCGTCAGCCAGGGCTTGCAGTATGTGGTGTCGTTCAATTTGTTGATGAAGCGATACTGCACTGCCACCTGGCGGTCAGACGACCAATCAATAGCCCCATCGCGGGTGTAGCGTCCAGGAGCGCTGGTAAATGCAGTTCTGTCGAGCGCAGGCCGACACACAGAGTCCTATGTCACAACAACGGGAGCGTACACCCCTCAAGGCGGAGGAAAACTATCATTTGTGCCTCATTCTGGAAGTAGTTCACGGCCGGGCAAAGTACAGCCCTTCCGCTACCTTCCTCAAAAGCACACACTGTTTGCTTCTGCACGCACGATCTGACATTACTCATCATGACAGGGCAGTCTTGTGCACCCACACCCCGTGCCGTTCCCACTACCCACCCCGATCGCTCACGTGCCCAGTTCTGACTGCAACCCACCACAGCACAGAGAGAGCCGCACCCCTGCCAGCGTCCGTTCCAGCCGAGCACGGGAGGCTCTGAATCCCCACACCCCTCTCTTCGACAGGGTGGATTTATCCACGAGACCTCGGAGTCAGGGTCACATAAGGTCGACTGCGGCACTAACGTGCGTCTCGCCTCGTTCGGTAATCCCGCAACCCCAAAAAGGTCCTAACAGACCGGAGGAGCTCTAAAACAGGAATGAACGGAAGGTCGGACCACAGCTTGACTAACTACGAGGGAGAAGCGCATGCAAGGAAAGAGCCTGGCTTAATCACCACGGGGGACGGACAAATCACCTCCCTTAGACAACAATGTGGTGACGCATAGGGCACATCGACTGCATGTTATACGAGATAAAGTTTCCGGTGTTCAAAAAGCTACACCTGGCAATAACACCTTTAATGTGATTACAGGACATCAGAATATTACATCCCACGGCCGCGACTATCTTTATCGGCCGCTCGCGTACCCAAACCAGACGCACACACCACCCGCCAGCCCGCCGCCGGTGAGCTCGCTCTGCGCGGCGGCCGCTCACCTGGCCCGTGTTCGTGATGACCAGCCGCTGCGTCTTGGTCTCGAAGAAGTGGACCGTGCCGAAGATGATCTCGGTGGTGTCAACCGACACCTGCGGCAGCGAGTCGTTCTCGTACTTGTCCAGCTCCTTCATGATGTCCTCATAGATCTTACGGTACTTGACCGGATCGATGACCTTGACCTGCGACCGGGACAGATCACAGGTCAGCGCAGGGGCCAAATAGTAACATCGGGCGGTGGGGAGCTCGAGACAAGCGCAACGCGACAACTGAGATCGCTTTGGAACATCGCTCACAGAACGTTGGTGGCCGCGTGGGAGTCGAAAACAACACAAGAAAGTCATGGCCTGGACAGCATATCGTCGGCCAAGGAATATGCGCCAAACCTTTCTCAGGGAGATGCACACGAGAAGCCCTCAAGCCTTTCCACTGGCCGCCGCGGATCATCTCAGACTGCAGTCAAGCCCGCGACACCACGGTAGACCGTAGTAATGCGAACACTTCTGCATCTAGTCAGCTCAAACACACGAACATTGCTCGGGGGCGAAAGCGCCCAATCGGCTCGAACACAGCCACACAACATCCGCACCAACGACAACGGCCGGCGCGGCGCGGCGCGCGGACACCCACCCCGGCCTGGAAGAGCGCCGACACGGGCTTGTGGTCGCTGAGCGTCAGCGTCGGGTGGCTGGTGTACTTGACCTGCCGGATGCGGTCGCCCTTCCAGAGCACGCGGTCGCACCAGGCCGGCGCCCGGTTCTTCTCGCTGCGAACGCGGCGGCGGCGCTCGTCACACATCATGCCGCCCCCGCGCGCGCCTGAGCGCCGTGCGCACCGCGCGAGCACAGGCCGCGTGTCCACTGAGCCGCTGCGTGGGTGTGGGCAGGGCATCGTCGGAGAGGCGCCAGCCGAGGCCCGCTCAGGCCTCTCGACGGTGGGGCTACTTTTGAGGTGTGCTGGGACAGACATCGCAAAATCCTAGCGGAGCGATCGCCGGAAACGGTAACGATACTGGTCTCAGCTACTTGGGGCTGAAGGCGTTTGGACTGGACTCGAGTTGTAGCGACCGTCGGCTACTTTAAGAATACAGATGAGATGCACATACTGATGAGCGCATTACAGAGCGAAAGGCGTGAGCGTTTTTCTTTCAAGTTGAAAGAAAGTTGCTACGTAGTCCAAACAACGGACAAGTATCTCCACATACGTATACATTCTATAGATTGATTTTCCTGTTTCGCTGCAAGCTCAAGCAGCCGGTGGGCGCCTGGGTCATGTGGGCGCTCAGCGTTAAATGAGGCGGTGTCGCATGCGTCTGCCACTGCAGCCTCCTACGATGGCACGCCGCCACAATTTGTGCCCAAGACCGGGCGAAACCCGCCACCACGGAGCAGGCCACAGTCACGGCACTGCAGGCCGATTCGTTCATTCATTCATTCATTTATTCACCGATTCAGGAAATAGCCACGAAGGAGTCATCCAGGCATGACGGTTCTTTTGGGGGGAACGTGACGTACGTCATCACGCCCCTTTTATGGAGCATCAAAGAGCGCACTGGCCACATCAGAGCACAGGGGGACATGGCGCAACTGCGATTCGACCCGGGTCCCCAAAAGGGACCCCTCTGACTCTGACGCGCCAACCACTCGGCCATTACGCCCCAGTTCTGGCCCGATAGAGGGCCATATTGTAACTCGCCTAGCTACACTCTTAACTTGTTTACAAAACGAAACTTAGTCTTACAGCCACTTCATGATCAGAAGAACCGCGGCTCGAAAATTGTCTGCAAAACACGGAGCTTCTGAAGCGAGCTTAAATGGTGTTAGCCGTGACCTTCTGATGTCCTACTAAGTTCGCTTCTTGTTGTCGGATAACAACTGATGTATCTTTCATCAAAACAATATTAGAAGCCCAGGGACAATCATGCGAGTGCCAGGTAATATCGCGCAATGCGCTTCAGCAATTAGTGATGGCATATCACCCCAAACTGTAGTGCATTCTGGCCGAATATCAGCATCATAGACAACGATCCGGTGCGGCGAGTAGCTCAGCTCTGGCTGTACTCAGTCCAGACTGAATGTTAATCTAAACTGCGAAATACGCTGCGGGGTAGATTCTAGAAGCGCGGTTGTTATGCAGTCGACGTTCAGACCGTGGAACAACACCGAGCGAGCACGTGAACACAAACATCACGATCGCTGCCGCCGGCTGGCACCGGCCATGACGACCCTTGCGCTGTATGTCAGAACTGGGGACCCAAGTGATGCGCTGAACCAGCTGGCCACATCCGTGCGGCGGCTGAACAGCGCCATGCGGGTTAACATAACAGCGCAGTTTGCCAGTGGCACCATGCGCCAGCCCACACCGCATGGCTCCAAAGGCTGCAGCCAAAACCGGTCCAAGACGTGGCTCGTCACCTTGCGCACAACTATGTTTCCGGCAGCTCGAAAACGTGCTCAGGACCATCATAGCTGACAACCAGAAGGTGACAGAGGAGAAGGCAGCGGACGGTATTCTGGCTGCCGTGAAGCGAGACTGGCACCGCATTCGTTTCTTCCGTACTGCAGAGTACTGAGAAGAGGGCGGTCCCACCCTGATACAGGCCACGTGCCGCCAGCGACGGCGCACGTACTGGACTGCGCTGTTGTGGCCCTCAATATCAACCGCCGAACCTGCCGAATTTCCCATACTGCTCCCAGATCATCAAGGGACGTGCGAACCTTGTCACAAAGGCCTTTCGATCCGTACTCGGTCAGGAGCAGGTGCCCGCTCTCATCGTTTCTCGCTGCGCACCAAGCAAAATTCATCGCTAAAGGAGCTTCCTCACAGACGAGCTCGTGACCATATGTTGTATGGACTCGTAACATCCTGGCGTTGGTATTCACTTATTCGCTTAATGTTGTTTCGCGGGTTTAGTGTCGGCTGACAACTGAAATCGGGCATGATGAATTCGATCGGTTTCTCGAATCCACATCGAATGTATTCGAAGCTTAAGCTTAGACGTTGCTCGAGTTGAGTACAGACATCTGCTGCCCGCCGCAAATAGTCGTCTTCATGCTAAAATCTAGAGAACCCGACGACGGTATATGACATTAGTAATCGCTTAATATTATGCATGGCTATTGCATTACGATGTGAGCGTACACATTCCTGTGAATGATACCCGCTCGCCTACGAGTGTGCCTCGTATACATCGCTTTAGTATCAACTGGAACTGGGGACTGGGTCTACGCTGCTGGAGGTAGAGGGTCTAGCCACGCTGTTGGAGGTACAATATTCCTCTCCAGAAGCTCACTACTTTACAGAAATTTCGAAATGGAATAGCAGCCGAACTCTGACGCTGAGGTTGATAAGACTAGTCCATCTGTAATTATATTTCGCGATGAGGCTGGGATGCAGCCCGCGGCCTTTATCGGGCCAGAGCCGCCTTTACTATTGCCCCTCTCGCGCGGCCCGTTTCACCTGGTGTTAGGCAACGACTGCAAAGGCACAACAGCGCGGGAAACTGTAACAGCTGGCGCACACAGGAGCGCTTCGTTTAGAGGACAGGCGGCCATACCTGAGCCTTGCCAGATGGACCTCAAGTTTCGCACGCGCTCGTCTGAAGGCGTGAGACGAGTTTTTTCAACGACCTTGCGCTTTCAGACAGCACTTCACTGCTGTACCATGTCCGCGGCCAAGCAAAACAGCACAGATGCACACAGGCACGGCACACCTAAACCGTCCATCACTGCCGTGCCGTCACTCCGGCACGACTACGTCTCCTGCAGAGAGCATTCCAAACGACGAGCCGGAAGATGTCACCACACACTCTCAACGTCCGCACGGTAGACAACCATCGGCGACAGACACAACTTTAACCCCGACTGGCATGATACAAAACACCACCGCGTCTCCGCGGCAGCTGGGCGACGCACACCCGCCCGAGCGTCGCCGGGGCTGCCTCACCTAGAGTCCCAGTTGTCGGTGCCGGGGTCGTACTTGTAGGTGGGCCGGAACGTCACGGGCCCCTCCTGGTATCCCTGGAACACCCTGCCGGCGGCCAGCTGCAGCCGCAGCTGGTCAAACTCCATCACCTGCGGCAGTAAGCATCCTTCAGTCCCG